TCATGATGTTCGTAGTTTCATATTTCGTATGCTAGGAAATTTAGAAACAAAAAATCAATTCCCTGAACTGTCCATAGTTTCTTTAAGTTCAAAGTTTCTTAATCTCAAACATGATAATTCTCTCCTTCTGATTTCTAACTGATATAATTTTACTTTACAAATACAAATACAAATACAATCAAATTAATCATGGACCTTCACGTGGGTAAAATTTCAGAACGTTCTTATTAATATTATTTTGCATATCAGTAGGTGTCTGAGTCGGTACTTTTCTCGACTCCAACTACTTACACACTTAATTTTATTTGCCAAACTTCGGTACCTTCAAATTCAGCACATACTCCTATCTCAGCAAAACATTACTTTTGTGACATTTTCCGAGATTTAGCAATCAAAAATCACTTTTGCTGGAGACTCTTGCTTTTCCTTTTGATCTAACAGCGAGTCAAAGATTTCTAGAATAACCCTTATATACAATACCATAAACAAATAATAACCTAAATAGTGAAACTTTTTCACATATGGTTTGGATGATAACCTAAGCACGTCGTTAAGCAAAATAACCATAACAAATTTATGAGGGAATGATGTTCCACGTTAAGATTGTCCTATAGCCTTGTCTGATTTTTCTTCAAACTTGAGTAATTTATTTTTAAGCATTCTATTCCAAGAGAACCATATGGAACTGCCATAACCATGAATTGACCTAAAAAGGGTTTAAGTTTTTCCATAAAGAATTAGTCACGGGACATTCATAATTGAGGCATCTTGAAGAATGCTATTGGAAAAGTATAACCGCATTGATCATTCAGATACATATCAAATTTAAACGGAACGTTCAACTAATAGAACAATAAAATAGATGCCAACGTGTAGCGGAAATATTTGTCTATAAGAGCGACCAACTTGCAGAACCATCAATATTGTTTCAATAGGTGAATATTATTGATTTTCAACAACTATTTGCTAGATGATTCGAACATTTCTCAAAAGAAGGTAATTTTATGGTATTTATAGTAAATATAGTCCACTACAAAGCTAATATTTGAGAACTACAATAGTCGATTCGCTATTTAGAAATATACACAAGCACATTTATCAACCTGCACTTGGTAGAAATCGTTGTTTTAAAAATTATTTCTGGTAGAAATTAAAATATATCACATGAGCTCGTGTTTTCCGTTTACATCTTTCTCCCTAACACAGACATCAGAGTCAAACGACTGTCAGTTCTTCATCATACATGTTTATTCGTTCATTTTAACCTACATACCAGTAACAAGCGAACCCCTTTAAATCATCATGACTGAAACCGCTGAAGTTGCTGCCGCGGCGCCTGCTGCTGCCTCGCCAGCCAAGACTCCGAAGAAGGCCAGGGCCACCAAGGGAGACGCCAAGAAGCCAAAGAAGCCAGCTACCCATCCACCAGCGAACGAGATGGTCATTGCAGCTATCAAGACCCTGAAGGAACGCAAAGGATCGTCCCTACAGGCTATCAAGAAGTACATCGCTGCGAACTACAAGTGCGACGTTGCCAAGCTGTCCATCTTCATCAGAAAGGCTCTGGTCAGCGGTGTCGAAAAGGGCACTCTAGTCCAGACCAAGGGATCCGGTGCTTCAGGATCGTTCAAACTCAAGGTCGACGAAAAGAAACCAAAAAAGGCCACCGGAGAGAAGAAGGCAAAGAAGGCTACCGGTGAGAAGAAAAAGGTCACCAAGAAACCCGCCACCAAGAAACCTGCTGGTGAGAAGAAGGCCAAAAAGCCGGCAGCCAAGAAGCCTGCCGGTGTGAAGAAAGCCAAAGCTGTCGTTGCCAAGGCTGCCAAGAAGGCCGGAACTGTGAAGAAGGCTGCTGCTCCCAAGCAAAAGGCCACCAAGCCCTCGAAGACCGCTGCCAAGAAGCCAAAGACCCCGAAGCCGAAGACGGCCGCCCCAGCCAAGAAAGCTGCACCGAAGAAGGCCGCCGCCAAGAAGTAAACTTGGAAACGACGCCCCCGACGTGTGTCATACACGAAACAATTACCCAAATCAGTCCTTTTCAGGACTACCATTATTGATTTCCATCAAGAGTTTGCTTTTGGAATAATCTTTTGACGTATGATTACGTCTTTCGGCAACATATTTGGAGGTGTAATTTAAAAAAAACCAACATCGACCGTGTTACGAAAGTGGTCAGGTTTTGACCAATTATAACTCTGTGAATACCGGATGGATTTTAATTCCAAACAAACCAATCGATTGATAATTTTTCTGCGAATCTTCTAAAATGAACATTTTATTAATTTTCGATACATCATTATTGAAAATTACACAAATGTCCAACTGTTGCAATGGTGATCAAAATTATCATCGATTGCCTGCAAAAAGCACTTTCCTTAACACAAATTTTGCAATCGAATTCCATCCGGTCTCGGTAAATCACCGTGTGTGGTAGTGTCCGGTCGGTCGTCATCAGCAGCAGTGCTTTCGGCGCGTGGCGGTGAACATTGTTCTCCTTTTCACCAAAAGGCTGGCCACCATTTTTAATTGAAGGTTTAGCAATATTTTTCCAAGTGCAATTAATTAAATTTATGATCGTAAAATTAATTAATTTTAATTCGTGTTGTGTGTAAATTCCCTTTTTGTTCATTTTTTCTTGAAACTCGTCATTTTCATAATATCGCCTGTAGATCCGGAACGTTATTAAATCGCCCATGACATGTATGACAATAAGGGAGAACGACACTTAAGGATTGTCCCATTTTTACCCAAATCTCGCATAAAATTTTCAAATTCAATCCATCCTATACCCAACTTATCCCTTCTGAATACACACAAATTATCAAGCAAGACGTACAGTTTCTCGCAGTTTTCAGGTCGCCTTTGAAGCACTCTGCCGTACTCACTGTCAGTTTTCAACAATCTCATTAAAATAGACGTTACCGTTTTATGCGATAATGGCGAAGACGCTTGATGTGTGTTTTTTTTTTGTCTACCTATTTTACCATTTATTTTCACAGATAGGCTCACGTTATTTTAATATTTATAGGAAAGTTTGAACATACTGAGAGGTAAGCACATATCATCGGTAAGAGACATGTGTGTGAGAAAATTTGCGAAAAAATCTAAGGGCACCGGTGGGATTCGAACCCACAATTCCCATTCAGTACACGGGTGCATTGCCAATTATACAACGGTGGACCTATGGTCTACGGATGTATTTGGCTAATGACATTTGAGTTTCGAATCCGTTCCCCACCCTAGTCTTTTTGCGCAAGCGTTCTCTGATACACAACAATCGTCTATTATCGACGATATGTGCTTGTACCGCAACCACTCAGTATCAGTTTCTACGTTCCATAAGAGACGACACAGGTAGGATTTGGATGATAATTTCTATTCAATGTAGTTTCCGTTGAGAGCTGGGTAACAAGAAGCAATTTGCTCAGAGTAGCTATGCTTCTACCCGTTTCATGAGCCTTTGTTAGTTTCCTGCAATTCTTGGCCGCATTTGCATGTTTTGTAGATGATCATTTTCTTCTTTCAACAGAAGTAATCTTAAACAATTCGCTTTATGATCCTGATAGTCATGTTCATAAAACTTTAATATTTGAATAACAAGAACATACTTCGTCGGATTCATGCAACACTGTCATTAGAAATAAGAATAGTCGAAATTTTCACTATGGATTTGATTTTTATGCCTGAATTGCAATGTTTTGACAATCCACTGCTAGCGAAACAAAGGAAGATCAAACAGGAAGTCCATCTTATCCCTGAAAAATAAGCTTGTTGTCTATAGACAACTAATCCTACCTATTATTGAGTATGGTATGTCAGTCTGGGCGAGTTTTTCCAAATACCATCATCTTGATCTGCAAAGGATCCAGAACAAGATCCTTAGGATGATCCTTAACAGTCCCGCGGACTCAAAATTCTGAGATCCACCGTCTGACTGGAATTCAGACATTAGAAAAACGGAGAGTATTCATCCTGTATTCAAAGACACCTGTCTGAGATCAGATCATACGTGATCTAGCACTTTAGATAGGTAGGTTATCACATTTTTCAATTTCAACAAAACGCACCCCCAAGGGGTATTCTGTTAACTAGTTGAAAAACGCAAATACAAAATTAGAATATCCAATGAAACAAAGATGAAGAGCCAGATAGGCTACAATGTACAATCATAATCAACAGAAATAAACGTCAGTTTACTACTACTACCAATGCGAAAAAATATAGACAAAATAACCGACCGAAATGCAAAAACGTCCACATCCGAAAACAGTTCGTGACAAAAATATGTAGGCAAAGGAAAAATAGTAAGCCAAAAAAAAAAGTGGTCTAAGGCTTTTTTGAAAATGACATCATAAAGATGCTGCAAGAAATTTCCATCAAAAACACTTTTCTGATTCATGTTGTGGCCCTGAAAAGGGCCGTTTTGATGCTAGAGTTGATAATGCTGATTTAACCTCCGAAACCGTACAGAGTGCGTCCCTGTCGCTTCAGAGCGTAGACAACATCCATGGCCGTGACGGTCTTACGCTTGGCGTGTTCAGTGTAGGTGACGGCGTCACGAATCACGTTTTCGAGGAACACCTTCAGCACGCCTCGGGTTTCCTCGTAGATCAGCCCGGAAATACGCTTGACACCACCACGACGAGCCAGGCGACGGATGGCGGGCTTTGTAATACCCTGGATGTTATCACGCAACACCTTACGATGACGCTTAGCTCCTCCTTTACCGAGTCCTTTGCCTCCTTTTCCACGTCCGGTCATTGTTGATGCTGATTGAAACTGTCTTCGGGTACTATTGAAACGAAATTGATGCTTAATTTTGACCATGAATGGCTCTTTTATACCCATTCGAGGGTTAGATTCTTCTTGTTAATTGTTGTACTCTTGTTCTAACATCATTTGTGATTGGTTGAATATAGCAAAATTATGGTATAAAATCGAGGGGAAGACGGTCAAAATTTTTATTCAACATCTTCGATTCATCGTATCCGCATCGTAACTAAACATAATGGCTCGTACCAAGCAGACCGCACGTAAGTCCACCGGAGGAAAGGCTCCTCGCAAACAGCTGGCCACCAAAGCCGCTCGCAAGAGCGCTCCGGCCACCGGAGGAGTGAAGAAGCCTCATCGCTACCGGCCAGGAACCGTCGCTTTGCGTGAGATCCGTCGTTACCAGAAATCAACCGAACTGCTGATCCGCAAGTTGCCTTTCCAGCGTCTGGTCCGTGAAATCGCTCAGGACTTCAAGACCGACTTGCGCTTCCAGAGCTCGGCCGTCATGGCCCTGCAGGAAGCCAGTGAGGCCTATCTGGTCGGTCTGTTCGAAGATACCAACCTGTGCGCCATCCACGCCAAGCGTGTCACGATCATGCCAAAGGACATCCAGCTGGCTCGTCGCATCCGTGGTGAACGCGCTTAAATTTCTCCAACGCACCGTTTTAAAACCGGCCCTTTTCAGGGCCACTACTCGTAATCCACAAGAGAGTTTAGATGGAAAATTCCTAATGCAATTTAAATTGTTGTCCCTTAAATTGATGCTTTCGTACGTTCAGTTTTATTTGGTGGAAGTAATAACATTCAGTTTAATTAACCCGAAAACAGATTTTAATGGAGGGTTTTCTTCAAGACGCTAGAAAAAACATAAACAAATGGGGTCGATCAGAAAATTTTAGCGGGAAGTCCCTCCAATCAACTCTCCGTGCATCTTTTATCTACCGATTGAGAAAACCAAAATTGCTTGTTTTTAAGATGCCATGTGTTTTGTGCGTTGATGCATAAAATCAATCCTAGTCCTGAAGCACATTCAAGCGTCTGTTGGACCGGTGCCGTGAATCTGGTCAGGTGAGGACGATTACAGTTCGGAACACGGATACGAATAAACCGGAATCTTCAACTGTTTATTTGCTCGAGCACAGTAACGGAAAACTGGACTAATTACACTGTTAAATAAGGTTGTATTCGACGGAATACGGGATACAGCACATGTTTCTTTGGTCAGCTTTCAGGTGCGTTTACTTATTATTAGGACGGTTACAGCACGGGTAACTTAAGGCTAATGGCTGATTTATATGGAGACATACTGGAGTTGTATAGTCTCCCAAGTCTGCTATATTTTGGCAGAAGAGCTGTGATTCCATATATTAACGTCCCTTTAAACAAACCACCTTGAAGATGTTCGGAAGAAGAGCCGTCCTTTGGCCGAAGAACAAGAAAAATGGCCTTTATGTACTGTTTCATACTGTTTGTTCGCCTGTTCGTAGTTGCTCGATTATGTTGCCGACAGAAGAGTTTCTCTGAATTTGAATTTTTTTTAACATATTTTTTTTCACTTGTTTTTACCATAGTTTTACATTGTAAGTGATCATGTAAGATATTCATTCTTGCCTAAAATTACTGAAAGCCATTGGCTAATTTTTACTTATTTGTATTTATCGTTTTACAGTGTGAACATTTGTTCTATTTCAAATTTTTAAATTATAAGTTTCCTTTCTAACTACATCAAACCCTGACTAAACTTACTATTTACAAAATTATGGGTAAAGATTTCTAATTCTTTCGTACTCTGAATTTAGAGTCCTAGTTTGGTGCAAACTGGCGAGCGCAGTCATTCTTTGGTCGATTCAATCGAGAGTAGGCACAAATCGGGTGGTATTTATATGCATTGGTCGATAAAGAAAACATTTTTCATCTCTCATTTTACTGTATAGCCTCATAGGAATGAAAGATTGAAATATGAAAATATCCCTTCATTTTAACTAAAAAAAATGTCAATAAATCAAACTCTTTCGTTGGTGAAATCAAATTGGTCGCCCTGAAAAGGGCGGTTTTGTACATGTTGGGCGTGGTCTCCGATCAAATTTAAGCCTTCTTTTCGGTCTTCTTGGGCAACAGGACGGCCTGGATGTTTGGCAGGACACCACCCTGGGCGATGGTCACCCCGGACAGCAGTTTGTTCAATTCCTCGTCGTTGCGGATGGCTAACTGCAGGTGACGTGGGATGATTCTGGTCTTCTTGTTGTCACGGGCGGCGTTTCCTGCCAACTCGAGAACTTCAGCGGCCAGATATTCCATCACGGCAGCCAGGTAGACAGGAGCACCGGCACCAACGCGCTCGGCGTAGTTGCCCTTCCTCAGAAGACGGTGAATACGACCAACTGGGAACTGCAATCCAGCGCGGCTCGAGCGGGACTTTGCCTTTCCCTTAACTTTTCCACCTTTGCCTCGGCCAGACATGTTTCGATGTAGTAGGGTAGATTACGATGTGAAAATAAAACGAGCAGCTTTATGCTCAAACTGTACTGATGCCGTTTTAGCTCGTCGAAGTTGCTTTTATACCTACATCGAGCAGCATATTATACATACAAGAAGGGTAGCATAAAACGGGTTTTGATAAAAATACATAAAAGGGGACGAGTGTCGGTTGCCATTCTACGGGTATAAAAAGAAACACCATCGGCTTACAAAAAATATTAGTTATTCTGTACCCAAGTTAACAGCTTTACTATGGCACCAAAAACCAGTGGAAAGGCCGCCAAGAAGTCCGGCAAGGCTCAGAAGGCCATCGTCAAGGGAGACAAGAAGAAGAGGAAGCCACGCAGGAAGGAAAGCTATGCCATCTACATCTACAAAGTGTTGAAGCAGGTCCACCCAGATACCGGAGTCTCGTCGAAGGCCATGAGCATCATGAACAGCTTCGTCAATGACATCTTCGAACGTATCGCTGCTGAGTCGTCCCGTCTGGCTCACTACAACAAACGCTCGACGATCACCTCTCGCGAAATCCAAACCGCTGTCCGTCTGCTGCTGCCGGGTGAGTTGGCCAAGCACGCCGTCTCCGAAGGAACCAAGGCCGTCACCAAGTACACCAGCTCCAAATAAATTCGTACCATCGAAACTACAAATCGGCCCTTTTCAGGGCCACCAATCGATTTTCAACGTAAGAGTTTAAGTTTTGATGATTTCTTTTAAATGTTTGGAAGCAGTGTTATCGCGATATTTTACGATATTCGTCTAATGAACTTCACCATCACTGTTCACGAATTTGTTGTTTAGACGTGTGTGATGTGTTTCATGTTTGGCCATTTTTAATTTTCACAAAGAAGAATCAGATTGAAATTGTTATTACATTTTCAATTCAAGTCTCAATTAGATCTCAATATTCATCTGAGATATTGTGAGGGATTAATGTCTATTTGGTTTAAATTTTGAAGAATTAATGAAACTTTGCGTTCGGTTGCGCATCTTTTTAAAAATATAATCAGAAAATCATGGTTTTTTTTTTCCAAATTTCATTATTTATTTATTTTTTAGTACTCTTAAAATAATGAAATTGATCTGGAAAAGATATAAAATATAAAAAAGTTTTTTTTGAACGAGTGTTCAAAATATAATACTTAAACGGAAATTCCAGACAAATTTTATAAAACATCCAAATCTCAGCAAAAAAGGGTTATCTTCCATTTAATTCCACTTAATTAATTTTGGTATCCATGACAGATACGTATTTCGACTACAATGTGCAGTCTTAATCAGTGTCATTCCCACTAAAAAAACTAGTTTAAAAATCAAAGTAAAAAATAAATGAACTCCAATGTTTGAACTTTGATTCTTATGTTAAATCGTGAGCAAATTTTTTATCAATTTGGCTTTAATTTGGCGTTAAAATAATTGATTTAGCTTCATTACAGCCGGAGATATTTGTATTTAAGTAAACAAAATTTTTTAGAGTGTTTCTAGAAAACTACCCTACTGAGATTTTTTTACTACATTTTTGGATTCAGCACATGATTTTATATGGAAAATGACCACCAGCGTACAAAGTTGAAATATGCTGTAAGCTACTGTAATTGAAAATTAATGGTTTGGACTTACCTTTCGCCATCCCTCTTCAGTTTCGAAGCTTTCACGTATTGGCTGGTTTGTCTCAGAAGATCCTGATTCGTCCTATAGTAATGCCTGTTGAAATTCTTCGTCTTTCAGCTTTTGTTTCTTCGTGCGGCCTGCACCAGGAACACTGTTTCCCTTTCGAGGAGCCTTCGCAACTTCCGGTGATGAACCACCATTTTCACTATCAGATGATTCAGGTTTGGGATACGTTTTAAAATTTCGTTTTTCCACCACGCGATATTTGAATTTTTCTTTCGCCTCTTGAAATCTATTTTCGAACTATGCACTTTCACTGCAGCTTGGCTTCTAAATCAACGGTTCTTTTTTAGCAACACACACTTGAATTGTTTTTATTATTTCACAAATACACGCGATGCAGGAAAGATTTTGTTTTGCTGTGGTTAACTGCACGGACACTGAGGAAGATTGATGACGATTCTGAAGATTTCCTGCAAGAAGTAAATGTGAAAAATGAAAGAGGATTTTTCGTAGATTGATTCGTTAGTGTGAGATTTTTCGAGCATTGATATTAAGATTTGACGAACCCCTCGCGCGTATCCAACATGATTTACTCTCAATTTATCGTTATTTTTACTATTTATTTTCATGCGCTTTCATCAAGGAGTTCTTTCGATAAAGCATAGATGACATTGCCGAATAATTAGTACATCCGTTTTCAAGTATCGATAATTTTCACAGAATATTTCGAATTGAAACACTAAAAGATGTCTTAAAATATTAATCAATTATTGCGAACGAAAAACGTCACGCGCGAGTTTGATCATGCTCTCGGTACTGATGGTTTTTCTTGCAAATTGATTTATGGATTGCACCATCGTTTGACTTGTTTTGTGTGAGCGGTTCAAGTCACATTGTTCTTCCCCTCGGAGACTGCTTACGCACAAATACATGCGAAAGCCAGATTGCTTAGGAAAACAAAATCTAATGCTTGGGGTTGCGCGACAAAAAAAATGGTTTATATTGAAATAATGCATTTTACAGGTATATTGTCTTGGGAATCAATGCTACTAACAATATTTTAAAACGATCTACCGAGGTCAAATGTGACCTTTCATATTCAATACTTGTGTAATTGATGAGCAACGTTAGCAACCACTATGATTGTGGTCCTAAAATTGAACTTAGAGAATGGTTTTCTGAAAAATTTTAACAATATATCAATCTTGTGTGAATTGCTAGAGATAGCAATTTTAGTTCTTCAATTTTGCACGGAAGAGTTTTTCGATTGAGCTTTGCGTTATTTTGTAAAAAATTGATGAAGTGAGTCATTCTGAACCGATCCACTTTCACATTGATGGTCCTCTGATTGGCCCTCTTTTATATTATATTTTTTCTTGCTTTACTTAATTTATATCGATACAAAGTAAGAACATACAATTTACGATATATCTACGCAAAGAAAACCGAGAAAATTAATTTCAAATTGAATTAAGATCCTAAGACGCCCCGTAACGTGGGTAGATCACCTTTTAGTGGTACGTTACGGGATGTAAGATCTACCGCCGATTCCTAGTCTTGACTATTTAAAACTAGGGGAACAGGATTT